ATGTTTGTCTCTGGGGAATGGGCCGGTAGGCCTACATAGACCGGTTGCTATAATATAGGTTTTGATCTTGGTGTTGCGGGTCTCAGTAGCCCCATAGAGCCCCCTATCGGTTGGGGCCCTTGGGGGAACTGTTGGACCACAGCCAAATCCAGCCTCTCCTCCTGGCAGGCTGGAGAAGAAGGTTGCACAGCCACGGATACAGCTTCACTTGTGGAGCTAGATGGCAATGATGGTGGTGAGGCAGGTGAGCTATCGTTAGCCTCCGGCTCCGGCTGCCTCTGCACGTCAACATTGCTAACGTTAGCGCTCGATTTCGAGGACGATGTATGACAAAACAAATTGTCTAATTTTGTCAGTTTAGCTGTTACATCTCCTTGTTCTCTCTTGTCCTTTCTCTTTTGAGCGCTGCTCTTGTGCTTTGGTTTGCTGCACATTATAAATGCAAGCTATTACATTTTTTATAATGCTGCCAAACTTGCTGCTGCTAGCTACAGTACAGTATCAATCAATCAATGTTTATTTATATAGCCCAATATCACAAATGTTACATTTGTCTCAGTGGACTTCACAGTTTGTACAGAATATCAGTATGACAATATGACACCCTCTGTCCTTAGACCCTCACATCGTACAAGGAAAAACTTCCAGAGAAAACCTACAGTTTAAAGGGGAAAAATGGGAGAAACCTCAGGGAGAGCAACAGAGGAGGGATCCCTCTCCCAGGACGGACAGACGTGCAATAGATGCCGTGTGTAAATAGTACAGGTTGATTAAACGGTTCGCACGTCACGCAAGGTATCACATGTCATGAAAGGGAGCAAGGTCATTGGACAGACAAATGACAAATTAATGTAGGTTGCTTGGTTACTTTGAAGACTGTGAACCGGTCAATGCCATTGGGGCCTCAATGGGCCCCTGGCCGGCTCTGGGCCCCAGTGCGTTGCACCGGCTGCACCGTCGATAGTTACGCCACTGGGTCGCGAGCTGTTATGTGTCATGTGCGCATGGTGTTATTTTTTAATATATGAAGCGCGAGCTGTGTGCTCGAGTCTTCCTGCCTGTCGGCTGAACTCTGCTGCTCCGGGATGAGGGTCAGCTACATTATCTACGGTGCGTTCGTTAACTGTGCGGAGTCACTGCGGCACAGACTGAGCCGCTGGTGAACAGCTGTTAGAACGGGCCGTTCAGGTGTTCAGAGCAGAGCGGCAGAGCGTGATGTGAACTGAACATGTTTTTCTGTCGCAATATCATTTAAAGGGCCCATTGCATGCTTTTCCGGTTGATCGTTGAGCTAGCTAGCTAGCTAGCATACATTGCCACTATCTGCTAACGTTAGCTTTAGCCTTCGTTTTCTAATAGTTTTTTTCATAGGCTATAAACAGAGGTGGTATAAGTAAGTATAGATATTGTGCTAGAGTAAAAGTAGAAGTAGCCTACTCAGATATTGTACGTTAGTAAAAGTAGAAGTACTCAGATATTCTACTTGATTACAAGTAGAAGTAGCCTACTCAGATATTGTACTTGAGTAAAAGTAGAAGTACTCAGATCTTGTACTTGATTAAAAGTAGAAGTAGCCTACTCAGATATTGTACTTGAGTAAAAGTAGAAGTACTCAGATCGTGTAGTAAAAGTAGAAGTACTCAGATCTTGTACTTGAGTAAAAGTAGAAGTACCAGAGTGTAGAAATACTCTGTTACAGTAAAAGTCCTGCATTCAAAATGTTCCCTCAAGTAAAAGTAGAACAGTAGCCTATTAGCCATCATCAAAATATAGTGAAAGTAGCGACAGTAAAAGTAGTCATTCTGCAGATTGGTCCATTTCAGAATATGATATGTTTTATAATGATTGATCATGAAAGTGTTCTCAAAGCTGGTGAAGGTGCAGTTAGTTTGAATGACTTTGTATACTGCAGGGTAGCTTGTGAATTTACTCCAGGTGGAAATAAAGTCTGATTTATCACTTTACTCACATTATTCATCCACATTTTGTAAAGTAACTAAAGGTATTAAATACATGTAGTGGAGTCAAAGTACACCCTTTACCTCTGAATTGTAGAGGAGTAGAAGTACACAGTAGCAAAACATTGAAATACTTAATAAAGTACAAGTATCTCAAAATGTTACCCAAGTATAGTACTTGTTGAGTTTATGAACTTAGTTACTTTACACCAGTGGCTATACAGATAGAAAGACTAAGTCTTGCACAGAGGCATGAAAATACATTTTCAAAATGCTCAACAGTGCTGCCAAAATTATAAACTGACTGCTACACAATTAAAATAAATGCTTTTATATATTTCTATTAGATGTGACTCTTTGGCGTTTCTGTTATTATTACCTGCTGCTTTAGTTGTTCTGACTGCTAAAATCCTCTGTTATCCCTAAACCGATATTCCATGGGGTCGGGGGGCTCGGATCCTTGTCACCTTTTTCATACCTGATGAGTTTGCATCCCTGACTACAGTTGCTTTAGCGTGTAGAAGCTAGTAAGCCTACTATTTGATTTGTTTTAGATAGGCACTACATGTTTCATATGCAGACCTTATTTTCCTGTTCCATGTTCAAATAAACCATTTTCAGTGGTAATTTTTTTTTGGTCATGGAAAATTAGGTAAAGGTCATTGAGAAGTCATGGCAAGGTCATTGAAAATCATTGGTGAAAAAGTGTATGAACCCTAAACACGGATGAGCAGTGGTTATAATCAGCTCCTTCCGGATATCTGAACACCTTAGCTTGTCCCTAAGGCTGCGCTCACTGACCCCATGAGTGAAGCTCAGTAATCTCCTTCTTTCGGTCACTACCCAAAGGTCATGACCATAGGTGAGGGTTGGACCGTAAATCAACTGGTAAATGGTCAGATTCACCTTAAAGGTCCCGTGTCATGGCCATTTCTACTGATCATAATTACATTGTTGAGGTCTACTAGAATATATTTATATTGTGCCATTTTCCAAACTCACATTGGTTTCTCATACAGCTTCTCTGTAGTATGTGTATTCACTCTCTGTCCTAAATGGCTTGTTGGAGCTCCTGCCCCCCCCTCCCTGCGAGTCCACTGTGCTCTGATTGGTCAGCTCGCCCACTCTGTGCTGATGAGTCCACCACCGTTACAGCGGAACATCAGTGATTATGTGTTACAATGGCGTTTGTTATCAACCAGAAGATGACACCAGTAATGACAAACAGATGAGAATGCTGCGGGGGGTCTGGGTGCCGTGTTGGCGGGACATTGCGGGGCTCGCTGCTGTGAAGAGCGGACAGTGTGAGCTGGGTTAATTTCCTGCTTGCTGCGTGGGGTCTGCGAGACAGCGAGACATCGCGAATGGACGCGGGAAGGGGGGTCTGCGAGGCTCCACTAGCACCCGCACCCCCAAACACGGTGCACCTACAGTGTAAGCGCGCCACAATTTTGCCGCTGCGAGGCTCCACTAGCACCCCCCAGCGCGTCACAGTTTCGCCGCTGAGAGAGTGTGTGTGTGTGTGTGTGAGGAGCTCCACGGATTGGGTATGGTCACGTCATTGTACCCAGGAAGAAAACAATGGAAAAAGAGAAATCTCCATCGAGGCGTTCTGGGGCAGCATAGACAGGTATTTTCTGTGTTAGAGTTGTACTCGCTACAGGGTGTACTTTGAGGCTTTGTGACTCTGCAGACCGTTTACATGCATACAAAAAGCTACATAACACACAAGGGGACGGGTAATAACCAGAAAAGCATGACATGGGACCTTTAAGGCTTTAGTTACTTCTTCACCATTACTGCCATGAACAACACCCGCATAACTATGTAAACTGCAAAGGTCATAGCCGCCAATCTTGGGTTTGATTTACAGAATCACCAGAAGAATAAAAGTTATCAGATTATTGTTGGCACTGAACAAAGTTGTGCCTCTTTGATGCCAAATGAAACAACACATCAAGTAAAAAAAGCCAATTACAGTCAAAGCCATAAAATAAATACAAGCGGAAAAGGAAGCAGTTGTATTTGTTTCTTGGTACTAATTAATATGGTAGCAAGTGTTAGTAATGTTCATTACAAGTCTGGCTAAAAGGATTGACCCTGTTAATGGCATGATTTCACTCCACTGTACTGTAAGATGCCCAACAAAAAAGCTTTTACTGTGAGTTGTAAATATTGTCCCAAACACTGACAGTATAGCAGCAGTGTAAATCTGCTGTCAGTCACACACTCACACACCCTTATGCAAACATGTAGATAAGTGTATTGCATTATTTGTAGTGGGTGGCATGGTAACCCTGTTCTGTTAGATTGGTGCTCCGACCTGTTGATTTTAAATGGAAACTTATTTGCAGTTATTTTCTATTTTTCGTAACCATTTAAAAAATTCAATTCAATCGAAAGTGCCTAGATTCTTCTGATGGGCTTGTGAAATTAAATGAAGTTTTCTGGACATAAAATGATTTACTTTCTATCCCTCATTAAGGTTAGAAACATCGTAGACACAAATATAATTGTTATCAAGGCAACCATAAAGGAGAACAACAATCTTATCCAAAGAAATTAAGATTGGAATAGTTGTTCCATACGTCTGGCCAATCACACCCTGGTTCGATCAGTCAGTCATTATCAGGCAGGATCAGCTATGGGGCCTGAGAGTCTTTTCATGACTTGTCAGAAATATGTTTGTGTTTGGGGGAAAAAGAAAAGAAAGGCCGAACAGGAAGTAGCAGGACGCAGTCTCGCCTGTCACTTCACATGATGGATGAATCCGTTTCACATCAATCTGATGCTGAGCAGCAATAATTGGATTATTAACGCAGGGCAGAGGCATATGGGGTTTCACCATCTTTCCCCCAGGTGGGCTCCGGACCCCTGCTCTCCGGCCGCGGTCTCTGACCCTCAGTCAATAACCCTCTGAGCGGCTGCTTATCACCAGCTAACCAGTTAACAACTCTAACAGTAGGGGCACTTTTCTGTCTGGAGTTGTGTGGATGTTGAGAGCAAAGTGAAATGTGTTCGGTGTGCTCGGCTTATAATGCTATGACCTCAGTTTGGGAAGATATACAAATATGTGAAGGGCCTGTAGACATCACTAACAACTTGCCTGAAAACGCCATCCGACCTCTACAGCTAATTCAGAATGCTGCAGCACGACTGGTCTTCAACCTCCCCAAGTTCTCCCACACTACACCACTCCTTCGCTCCCTCCACTGGCTGCCATTGGTTGCCAGAATCAGCTTCAAGACACTGGTACCGGCCTACCAAGCTGTGAAGGGATCAGCCCCTTCCTATATCCAGGCCATAGTTAAACAATACACTCCACACGGGAACTTCGTTCAGCATCAGCCAATCGGCTTGCTACTCCTTCACTGCGAGTGGGACCCAGGTACCCCTCGAAAACACGCCTGTTTGCTATCATGGCTCCTAAATGGTGGAATGAGCTCCCCATTGACATCAGGACAGCAGAAACTCTGTATATCTTCCGTCGCAAACTGAAATCAATCTGTTTCGACTGTCCTGGCAATTAAATGATTGTAAAAACAAAAAGAAAGCAGTTTAAAGAGTTAGCTTAGGCCTTGTAATAAATTCACCAGAACGTACAATGGTATGACTTGCTTGAAGTGAAAATATCTGCACTTTCCTTGTTGATCGGAGTTTGAATCTCTATGGTTTGTGCACTTATTGTAAGTTGCATGGATTACATTACATTACATTACATTGCATTTAGCTGACGCTTTTATCCAAAGCGACTTACAATAAGTACATTCGACCAGGAAGACACAACCTTGAAGAAAATAGAATCATATAAGTACATCAGGTTTCATAGAGCCAAACATTTCAAGTGCTACTCAACTGGCTTTAGGAAAGCCAGTCCTTTATTAGTATAAAAGTGCTTCGTTAATAGTTCTAACGCTCGAAGTGGAGTCGAAAGAGATGAGTTTTCAGTTTGCGCCGGAAGATGTGCAAGCTATCTGCCGTCCTGATGTCAATGGGGAGCTCATTCCACCATCTTGGAGCCAGGATAGCAAACCCACGTGTTTTCGCCGATGGGAACTTGGGTCCCCCTGGCAGCGAGGGCGCAACGAGTCGTTTGGCCGATGCAGAGCGTAGTGCACGCGCTGGGGTGTACGGTTTAACCATGTCCTGGATGTAGGAAGGGCCAGATCCATTCGCAGCATGGTAAGCAAGTACCAGTGTCTTGATAAATATAAATGTATGGATAAAAGCGTTAACCAAATGAGTAAGCTACTAGTTCAGATATGTTGTATTGATTATTTTTATTGTAATCCTGATCAGAAAACAAGAACATAAATAATTGAAATAAGAATGTTGGACATTGAGTTTTGCAAATGAACAGCTCGTCGTGGTGTGGTTCAGCAGTTGTAATTAAAAACTGATAATTCAAGTATTTTTCCATCTGCTTCCAGTGTCTATTGTTTATGCTAATCTAAGCTAGATCTAAGTTTATTATAGACACAAGAGTGGTATCAAACTTCTAGGCCGGTAAGCCTAGAACAGTTACATTCCTTACAACATGAGGTAACAAAAAAAATAGGAAGCTATGACTATAAACGTTACATTTGTCTGAATCTTTAAATACAAAAGGCATCACATCCTTCAGCAAAGAGAACACGTCGTTTTGTCTCGTCTTATAAACCGGTAGTTTTACCTTTTAACATGTTCTCATATCCTTCAGAAGATAATCTGCTATTATCACAATTATTTGTAAGAAGGATTGTATGTTGTCCATCTTAATATATCCAGACTCATCCCTTATTTCACTATACGATCATGGCACTTAATATGGCTAGAACAATCAACTGTAGCCTGAAATACGAGGTGGTACAGTACGTGACATTTTCTTTATCTGCGGGCTAAATGCAGTGTCGCTCCGCTGCTGATTTGCACCTGCATCTTCATCTGGAGGAAGTTTAAGTGACTCTATTTATAGCAGGAGATCGTTTTCTAACTCCGTGGCAACACCAGGATCGAGGTGACTGTTGAAATACGTGTGTGTGTTGCTTTAAATGCAGCGTTACAGCTTCACATGCTGCTGGGGACACCGGGATGTAGAAAGCCTTCCTCTGAACAAAGTCTTGGCAGAGGACGGATTCATTTAGTCATGAAGTATTTTCAGTTTTATTTTATCCAGTAAAAGATTTAATAGAGGAGGATTTTTAACATTGGATTAATATGTAAATTTCTACGAGGGCTCTCTTGGGTTATTGCTTATATGATGCTTTTATGAGTTTGATTTTGAAAATGAACAGAGCTATTGCAGATGAAATGTAATGTATTACCTGGACAAAGATTTGAGTGTGACCTCTAAAGAGCGACATCTAACAAATGGCATTCATCAATTCGGCCCACAATGCATCTGTTTATCTTCTTGCAAGTGTCACACAGTATCCTGTAGAGAAGAACCAAGAGCCATTTAGCATTGTAACACTCTGTGTGTCCGTTGTATACAATATAGATGTTTTGAGGGATAAAGTGGTGTGTTTTGAGGCAAATGTCACTGAAATCGTGCATTTCAACAAATCATTGTGTTGCAACATTACATGTTAGACGCTTTTATCCAAAGCGACGTACATACTGAATACTGTGGGCAATCCCCACAGGAGCAATTTGGGGTGAAGTGTCTCAGGGACACAACGACATGCTGACTGCAGTGGGGTTTGAACCTGTGGTCCCAACACCCAGGCTCTATCCACTGCGCCACACGCCTCCCCCGCATACACCAAAGCTCCTTACTACCTTCATGCTGCTGTCCACAAACACATTCTCTGTGATTATCACTTAAACTACGCAGGGTACAGGCCTCCCACACAATCTTATTTACTCTGGTTAAAAAGTCAAACACAAGTGCTGTCCACTGAAGAAAGTGCATACCCATCTTTTTGCATACTGCATAAATACTCTGGAAATTCCGCAGGATTGTTTTTTATTAGGCTAAAGTTCCCAGGAGCTGCTCAGCCAATAAAAAGGCAACAAGATAAAAGAGCAGGGAGGATTAGGAAGGGATGAAAGCTGTAAAATGTTCCATATTATCTTGTGAAAAGCTATATTCTCTGCTTTCTCTTATTACATGTACCTTTAATTACTCCGATGGACAGAGCCAGAGTGGGATTCATTTCAGCCAACACACTTGTACTAATTCAGATGCGTTCTTCACTGTTTTGACATACATTTATTTCCTGCGTGCCAACTTGTAAATTAAGTACATTGTAATTCAAAGACAACCTGACTCCCCCCCCCTCCTCCTGCCCTCTGAGTTGCGTGTCTAAGAATCGCACCACAAGTCGCAGAGACTCATAAAAGGAGAGGCGAAGAGACATTGAAATATCTGAACCTTGCAAAGATAAACAAACGGAGGTATTCATTGCACAGTTAACAGGCTGTCCAAAGAATTCTGTCCTCTCAGGGCTCAATTTGCACAATCAAAAGCACACACACAGTCCTCCCATGGAGAAAAGCCACTGCATCTGCACACCACCACGTCTATTCACTCACAATAAATAAATAGTTGAATAAATGGGCTTTACTTTGCCCGGTTCATGGCTCAGTTTTCACTGTTTGGTTCTACTAAGAACCATCTGTGTCTCTCCTTTCACTCTGCGCTGTGCAGATGCTCCTTTTGTGGTGAGCCCCAATTCTTAATAAGCAGTTAAAATATTTACCGAGGTGTTTTTTTTCCCCCCAACAACCACATTTGCCTCTCCGGTTTCTTTTTTTGTATTATCATTATTATTATTTACACCTTTTCACCGGCAAAAATGGAGATGTCCACTAAATGTGATTGATTGGGCTTAAAAATGGCCATTATTACCATTAAGCTCCACATGTCAGCTGCTGCTTTTGTGCCGGCTGTATTTCTAAGCTAACCAGTGATCCATGAGCGCAGACAGGAGGGGGAAGAATGTAATGCCCTGAAAGAAATGCCCATTTCTCTATGGATCCTTCACTTGATTAAAAATACAGCTGCAGACACTGGCCTACAAGAGGCAGAAAGAGTCAAAGAGAAGAGGAATGAGAAGAAAGGAGAAAGTGAGACGGAGAGCCGAAAGGGGAAAACCCTGATGTTATAAGAAAGGGAACTCTTGCTGAATTGGAGAAATAACTTTTAACCGACAGAAAAGAAGAGCAGTGGCATATCGGGGGGGTAATGTTTAAGAGTATGCAAGTGTACTGTAGTTAGGCAAAGAGTTTCCAGAACACATGGGAATCAAAAGTTGTGGAATGTGAGGGGGGTGGGGGGGGTGAATCTGTTTACTGTTGTTAGCCTACTCTGCATGCACTTAGTTACTCTCTGTGAGGAAAAACAACCATTGGAACAACATTGAAAGTCTTTTATGAACTTTATTTATTTATTTATACTCCAACTGACAGCAATGTTGTGGATGATGGTGTCGTGTTATAATAGTATGATACAAAACACAACAACATACAATACATTTAAACTACAAGGATTATGACAGAAACAGTTGGATTGGTCACATTTCACATCTTCAGGTTAGGATACAAATAAACAAACACAAACCGTAACAAATATTTTATTGGGGGATATCAGAAAAGGTAATTGTATTTGCAAGAATAGGCAAATAAAGACCCCACTGTCACGGTCTGTCTGTGTTGTGTTTTGTCTGTCTCTGGTTTCCTGTTTTACTTTGAAAAGTGTTCACCCCTGTCTTGACTGTTGATTCCTGTCTCTGTGTTTGCCCTCCTGTGTCTGATTTCCTGATTGTGTTCACCTGGTGCCCCTGTGTTTTCTCCTCCCTCATCACCTGTGTCTTGTTTGTGTGATTAGTCTTGTGTGTATTTAAGTTCTGGGCTGCATTCCAATAGTCCATTTAGCTTAGGAACCTTCCTAACGGAGTGAAATGACCCGGAAGTCCCTCACTGGCAGCCATGATAAGTGCCGTTCCAATTCTCCAAATGAAAGGAAAGGAGGTTTCAAACTTCCTTTATAACCTCCTTTAGCTTAGGAACCACTGGACCTCCCTAACCGAAAGGAGAGGAGAAAATGCTGCCCCACAATGCATTGCAGCCGCAGCATTTGACGTCACACAACAGTCGGGCCGTTCACGGAAACAAACGATTATGACGGAGAAATGATATCATGAAAGTTACGGTGCTTATTAAGCTTTTTAAAACGTAGGTGGTAAGTTGCCAGAGTGCTTTGTTTTGAACGTTCATCAGTATTATAATCAAAAAGAGAAATATGAACGTTAGTTTTTACTGAAATGATCAAATAAAGTCAACATTTCACTGAGCTGTGTGGGGTTTGTTCAACTTTTAAAAGATGTTTGAATGGTGATATACACAGTGATAGATGTTAAGGACTAACGTTTATAATAAATACATCTGTATTGAGTTTAAGATCTTTTCATCAATCATACGTATTGGGATCATTTGTATAAATGTGGACCGGAGGGAGAGGGTGACGAGCATAAGTTTCACTTTCATTTTTTATTTCAATTCCAACTTTGGTCATGAAGAATATGTTTCTCTGTTGTCCACGTTCATAAAGCATAAAGCAACAGCATCAGAGCACGGTGCAGAGTCTCTAGATGAGTTTACAGTAGTCCCTCGTTCTTATTAAACATCCATGTTGTAGTCCGCTGTATAGAAAACTGTAGTTTCCATAGTTTCCCCACAGCAGCAGACGCACAAAATGACGTCGGATAGTGAAAGTGCATTCGGATTCTCTAAAGTACCGCGGTCTCTTCTCCTAAGTCCTTTTGAATTCTCCTATCCACTATCCCTTAACCCCGTGACATTTCACTCAGAGGTCAAGGAATAGGAGATCGGGTTAGAACTTAGGAGCTGATTTTTAAACTATCCGAACGCAACCTGGTTTTTCTGTCTGTCATTGTTGGATCCTTGTTTGTCTGACTGTGTTCACGGGGTAGTGTTCTGTTTGTTCCTATTTAAAACCTTGAAATAAAGGCATTTTCTGTTTATTCTGCATTTGGGTCCGGCCTGCTTCACTCACCCTGACACCCACATTGTTTTAATGTACTATTATAACTATTTATATATCTATTAAGAACATCCTTTAATTTGTATCTTGATTTTTTTTCGAGCTGTGTATTTCAGTGTCTTTGTATTTCACGGTGTGTTTCTTTAAACCTTTTGTGTAATTATATTAATTGATTAGATCAACACTTGTAAAATAAAAATTAGAAACAAATATATATAAAAAAAAAAATGCATTTACAAAAACATATTTGACAGAAGAATCCGTCCATGTTGTAACGTTGTGTGATTCATTTATGAATACAGGTTAGTAGATGCCGTGATTGGGCACAGCTGGCATCATAATTGTGTGTTTAGATGATATGAGTAAGGCATGACCTCATAGGGGGATATAAACAGCATAACCTCACAGTTGTGTGATTCAGTGAGTCATCGCAGTCACACAGTAGTGTTTGGATTCCACTTTAAATTAAAAGAATTTAAAGGCGTTCACACGTACACTCAGTGGACTAATACGGGCATCTTTAAGCCGCTCTAACGATGAGGCTTTTCTGCAGAAATATGTTTTGGGGCATTGTTAAAAGCAGGAAATGGCAATTTCGCCATACACTTCCTGTGCAGAAGTTTCCACAACAGCTTTACTACCCTAACAGAAAGGGAGGAGAAAAGAATGTGCTTCCAAATGTTTCCTCAATTCATTTTCATACTATTTGTGGCATTTTCAAAGTTTGTTTTGAATGTGTATGTTCGGGGGTAAATACTTGAAATAAGTCAGTACTAGTGCTGCACAAATATTATTGAAATTGCAACATGGACTCGTGCAATATTCAAATTGCAGGAAGCAAATTATTTGTTAAAGGCTTAATATGTATGACATTAACTTTGTAATTAAAGTATTGTTTAACTGACAGTATACAGAACTAACAAGACATATGTTTGGTATAGATCCTCAGATCGCACCAGAATTTTTCAATTATATTTTTCAACAATGAGGAGATTTTTGATTCCAGTAATTCCCTCCAAATGTGACCAATCAACATAATTGCAATTATAATTGTTTCCAGATTGTGCAGCCGTATGCAGTACAGTACATATATTAGCATTGCAGCAGGTGTTTTATTTGGAGTCTTGCAATCAGAGCACTGATTGAATCCTGCTGTCTGTGGAGCAGACAGTGTCACCTTTATCTATTGAAACACAAAGGTGATTCCTTGGTGCTGCTGACGTGATCCAGAGACCCAGCAGAGACCCCAGCAGAGACCCCACCAGAGACCCCACAGATACCCACCAGAGACCCCACCAGAGACCCCACCAGAGACCCCACCAGAGACCCCACCAGAGACCCACCAGAGACCCCACCAGAGACCCACCAGAGACCCACCAGAGACCCCACAGAGACCCACCAGAGACCCCACCAGAGACCCACCAGAGACCCACCAGAGACCCCACAGAGACCCACCAGAGACTCCACCAGAGACCCCACAGAGACCCACCAGAGACCACACAGAGACCCCACCAGAGACCCCACAGAGACCCCACAGAGACCCACCAGAGACCCCACCAGAGACCCCACCAGAGACCCCACCAGAGACCCACCAGAGACCCACCAGAGACCCCACAGATCCCCACCAGAGACCCCACCAGAGACCCCACAGAGACCCCACCAGAGACCACACAGAGACCCCACAGAGACCCCACAGAGACCCCACCAGAGACCCCACAGAGACCCCCCAGAGACCCACCAGAGACCCCACAGAGACCCACCAGAGACCCCACAGAGACCCACCAGAGACCCACCAGAGACCCACCAGAGACCCCACAGAGACCCCACAGAGACCCACCAGAGACCCCACAGAGACCCCACAGAGACCCCACAGAGACCCCACAGAGACCCCACAGAGACCCACCAGAGACCCCACAGAGACCCACCAGAGACCCCACAGAGACCCACCAGAGACCCCACAGAGACCCCACAGAGACCCACCAGAGACCCCACAGAGACCCACCAGAGACCCCACAGAGACCCACCAGAGACCCCACAGAGACCCACCAGAGACCCACCATAGACCCCACAGAGACCCCACAGAGACCCACCAGAGACCCCACAGAGACCCACCAGAGACCCACCAGAGACCCACCAGAGACCCCACCAGAGACCCACCAGAGACCCCACCAGAGACCCACCAGAGACCCACCAGAGACCCCCACAGAGACCCACCAGAGACCCCACAGATACCCACCAGAGACCCCCACAGAGACCCACCAGAGACCCACCAGAGACCCACCAGAGACCCAACCAGAGACCCACCAGAGACCCCACCAGAGACCCACCAGAGACCCCACAGAGACCCACCAGAGACCCCACAGAGACCCACCAGAGACCCACCAGAGACCCCACAGAGACCCACCAGAGACCCACCAGAGACCCCACAGAGACCCACCAGAGACCCCACAGAGACCCACCAGAGACCCCACAGATACCCACCAGAGACCCCACCAGAGACCCACAGATCCCCACCAGAGACCCCACAGAGACCCCACAGAGACCCCACAGAGACCCCACAGAGACCCACCAGAGACCCACAGAGACCCACCAGAGACCCACCAGAGACCCACCAGAGACCCCACAGAGACCCACCAGATGACCCACCAGAGACCCACCAGAGACCCACCAGAGACCCACCAGAGACCCCACAGAGACCCACCAGAGACCCACCAGAGACCCACCAGAGACCCCACAGAGACCCCACAGAGATCCACCAGAGACCCCAGAGACCCACAGAAACCCACCACATACCCACAGAGACCCACCACATACCCACAGAGACCCACCAGAGACCCCACAGAGACCCACCAGAGACCCCACAGATACCCACCAGAGACCCCACCAGAGACCCACCAGAGACCCACCAGAGACCCACAGAGACCCACCAGAGACCCACCAGAGACCCACCAGAGACCCACCAGAGACCCACCAGAGACCCCACAGATACTGTTGGAGATTTGGAGGGATAACTGGTCCGCTTTTCAAATCTCCGCGCGTTCCTATGAAGCTGGTTATAATACAGGAAGGAATCCATATCTACAAAGTAACCGTTAACAATAATCTACTTTAATGGCAATATGACAATGCAATACAATCATTACAATACAACATGATATATTACAGTTATATTGCAATGCTTAAGGAGTAATGCCGGCTTACTCCTGCTCTGGTCCGCATACTGCAGAGCTACTTTCACCCGAGCGCAGCATGTGAAGAAGAGGCCGAACGCCAGGGAATCCACCGGATATATACCAGAGTAAGAAGGAGGGGTTTGGTGTTAGGTCAGCTGGTCATCTTTTCAAGTCATCTCATTGGGAGACGCAACGCAGCAGGAAACGCAGCAGGAAACGCAGCAGGAAACCAAACAGGCTCACTTTCCAACAAAAGGTCTCAAGGCCTGCATACCTACACCTCCCCCACAGAGCCATAAAACCCTGTTTACTCCAACCAGCCCAGAATGTTTATAGCCATTTGTAGTCCTTACATTTATGAAAGGATAAAACAGAGAAATCAATATAAAACACAAACACAGGTATTGCTTGAACAGTATTCACTTAACTGCTACTATTGATAAGCACCAGAGAAACCCAAGGGACCTCTCTTAACCTCACAAACACTGCAGCTAGATCTAAGTTGAATGCAAATCAGGACATGCTCTCCCCTTCCCCCATCTTCCTTTGTCCTCAAAAACACATGTCAACAGGCCCCAAATGCAGCTCATAGTTTTACCCAAATTATTCTCATTTTAAGCTTATCCATAGTTTGCTAACATGAATAAATACAAATATAACTCTACAAATCCCCCTTTTTATCTCCTTCTCCAGAGATAAACTTAGACAAGGCATTTTGAAATATACCCACGGTCATTCTTTTCTACTGTGTCCGTAAATCCATCCGAAGCTGGTATTTAGAGTACTTGAAACCTTCATGGAGACAGAACACCACTTTCCATGGCAGTGAAGGAACCATGAGGGGGTAGCTGAGTGCTAGAATCATCAGCCCCCCCCCCCCGAGGAATAGCCCACAAGGACAGCTAATAGGGAGGGGGAGATGCAGCTTTCCCTTCACGGGTAGAACTGATCAGAGCAAAGTAGACTCCTCTGCTGCGCCGTCCTGGCTTGCCGTGTCTTTGTCTCCCCAAATCCGCTGACAGCAGCTTCTGGGCTGCCTGCTAGAGAGATGTCTTCCTCCTCCTCGTCCTCCGGCCCGCTGATGGCGGCTTCCGGGTCGATGCTGTAGAGATGTCTCCAGGGTCCTCCTTCTCCGGCCCGCTGATGATGCCTCCCGGGTCGTCTGCTGTAAGGATGTCTCCAGGGTCCTGCTCCTCCAGTCTGCTGCTTCCGAGTAGTCCACGTCTGCCAGGGCCACGTCCGTCCTGATGTCGTCCCCTGGTCCTAGTAGGTGGTTTCCCCGCCGCACACTGGCTCCCGTGGTACGAGCTGTCCCCCTTTTCTCCCAGGCAGACGGCATAAGAGGTCCGCTGGGTCACTCGGTCGGGGTCGGAGAGCCTGGGGTTGAGCCACTTTGTCCTCGTGCTTCTCGGGTCCCCCTTTTGGCGCCGGTGACCTGTGTGGAGAAATCTGATACAACTCCCTCAAGCCTACGCTCAGCTGTTTTGACCCACTTGGAGCCTGTTGGTGAGGTGTCTTGAAACAACAGCCGTCTGTGAACAGGTTTTCTAAATTAATTGTAGCCCTCCTATCTGCCAGTACAGCTTCAGAATCTTAATACTTGGATTGTGCCAACTAAATAAGAACCTCAACATCTTTAGGTAAACTAAATAACATATTTCAATAGCTCTGAATTTCTGACAAGCATCTGTGTTTATTTTTAAATGAAATCCTATTTAAAATCCAAATATAATATGAACTGCTAATGTTTCTGGTAAAGAAACACACTAATGTTATGGATTCAAAAACAACCAAAATCACGATGCTAACAAAGTGAATGATTTCCTGGTGATACTGCTTCTACCTGTCAGTGCTTAGATATTATCACGCTGAAAAAATGAATACAGAATTCCAACAAACTGTCATCAAATGTCCTTCTATTATAAATTTAGATGAAATGTATATCCCCATAATGACCTAAATAATAAAGTCTATGGCTTTTACTTCTTTACCAGGCTAGTTACATGATGTTGTCTAAATTAAATTCTGTCTCAATACACTACTATGTTTTAGCTTTAACTGTAATATGTTCTTTCTACATTTCAAACCTCAGTTACTCTAATGTCTGTTAAAATATTACAAAATTGTTTAACTATCACAGGTCAACTTCTTCGGTTTCACAGTAGCCCCTTGGCCACTGATTCTGTGTTACCTGTTATAATTCAAATCAATATTTAGAAACATCTCAACCTTCATCAAACAGTATCTTATCCCCAGATATGGAGCAGGTTAATTACATTCAATGCTCAATCCTTAAAAGAAAAATGTAAATTGTGAATTTTACAGCCATGTTGACATTTATACATTATACTCACTCCCCCTTTTTACACATGAAATCATGTGTAACAAAAGCCTGTAATGGGAGGGGAACAAAAACTGTCAGGTAATTGGTTAGGGACATAACGAACATTATTATCATTATTTCCACAGTGAACACTTCAGTGAAAAGAAGTGTTCCTCTCCGTCCTTCAGGCCTAAAAGAAACAGAATCTTCAGATTGTAGTTTTACATTTGCAAACCGCCAACTCATGTGAGAGGAAAATATCACATGTGCGGTTTCCCCTTTTTGTGGAATTTTTAGGAAACCTCTCGTTTCCCTTGGAGCTCCAAAATAATATGTTAGTCCAAAAACATGCTTGGTTAGTTATTGTTTTAGAATCATGCAGTTACACTGATCACATGCCGGCATTCATTCACACTCACACTGTCTGGTTGTCATGTCAAGTTTGGTCAGGTCCACCCCAGAGTCAGTCATCCACAGTGCCTTGTCAAGTTACACTGTCGGTCAGGGTCAAAGGTCAGTTGGTCTCCGTCTTTTTGGCCATGTGTCGTGCTCTGCAGAGACTTTGACATTTCAGCATAGGCCAGTATCCTTTGTCTACAAAAATATGTCACGATTTCAACTATAATTTTCAAGATGATTCTCACTTGTCATTGGGACTTCCGCCTCCCACTTTTCCTGAAACTTGGTACAAAACTCACTTCCTTCGAGTACCACTACTAATTAAAATGTCTAATGATCTATTTCAGAAACTTGTGTACAATAACTATTATCTTGAGTCAAAACATTACTAGGATCTGTGTCGCTCTGCATTTCATAGCTCATTATAATTCTGGTCTACTTAAAAAACGATGTTAAACTCTTTAGCAGTGTGTGGAACCTTGGGTGTCCGAACATGCAACAATTACTCCCTCCTTTATCAAGGATTTAAAACCGAAGTCTGGTAATAACTATGCCACAATGGTGAAATCAACACTTTAGATTGGAATTTAATATGTGGCTTGGCACTAGCCATTAATACAAACAAAGATTTGTCCTATAGAGTGGTTCCTAAAACTATCCTTTTAATGGTGATCAATATTGTAACCAATGAGACCGCTACTTTATTCACACGTGAATAAAAATGTCTTAAAGAATGAATTGTTAACATGATGAAAATATTGAAGAATATGGTTCTACTCTGTCAGTGTGTTTTAGGATGATTATCATTTTACTTTAATAGTTTCCTCTTTACTGCTATTTTTAATTTACCAAATGATTAATAAATCTTTCTGTCTTTACGTATTTATGAAGTTAATTCAAGTTATTTAAATGTGCGTTTCGTGAATAAGTGTGTTTATGTGTAACTCACTCATTCCCGTTCTCCTTTCCTCCTCCCCTGGTTTTCTCAAGCCGTGACCCCGGCCTCCTCACTTCTAATCGACCATGCCAACTCCTCTGATTCTGTCTTCTCTTCAGTCCATCAGCTGTTGAATCCATCCGCTGTAACTTTTGTAGGCAGCCATTGGCCCAGTCACATCTGCAGCCCCATCATGCCACTGTTGTTGCACTCCTCCTTTACAGTCTCTCTGCTGTTTTTATGGAGGGCGGATTCTGCTCTCATGTCTATTGTGCCAAATCTCGCGGCGCAGTTTGGAACTTCATGTCCTGTTTGAGGGACCGATGAGAGTATCTCTCTGTATGTCAGCATGCTGGTTTGGTTCTGGATGCCACAGGTGGAGATAGTTCTGGCTGCAGTCTTGATGTAGTCTTGTTGTTGTTGTTGGTTCAGCTCTGGTTCTCTGTCTGTACGATGGAGAAGGAGGAGTCTCCTGTTGGGTTAGGTCTCGTTGTCTGCTTGGAGGGTCGGGATCAAAGCCTTTCTAACTCAGAGGGGGAGTCCAGGTCTCGGTACACATTACCTATAAGAAGTCTAGCACACTGATGTTAAATAAATCCAACCCTTTCCACTCTGTCTCTTTCTAATCATACTATCTGTCTTAGTTGTTAAATGCCATCTAAACAACATAATTAATGTCTACTTATGATATTACAAAAACTAACTCCAAAAATTGTTTCATCCATTGTTACATATTTACCCAACACAACTCTGAAATACTTACATGTTTCCAGCATCACATATTCCACACACTATGAAAGAACATCTCCATATCTTCTCTCATTTTAAATCCCACTGTTACTTCGAACAATAGTAAACCTGCAGGGCACACCAATCGGATCACAGTAATGAAATTTGAATCAAGTGTAGGCCTATGTCTTCTTTCTGAACATTTATTTATATTGTCTACATTTGCAAACAGTTCGAGTGTAAAATGTGTTTTGCACAATGTATTTACACTCTACAGATTCTTGAGTTTACTCATCTCCTGGTGCTGTCGTTGTAAAAAATGTTCAATCCCTTATTGTTTTGTACCAGTTTACCAAAATCAGTTATAATTAATATACTGGGAACGTGCTTCCCGTCTTCAATACCGGCCAGCAATGTAATGATTAAACTCTAAGCTCGCCAATACCGGCCAGCAATGTAATGATTAAACTCTAAGCTCGCATAAGTTTCAAGGGTGTGATACCCCCTTTCAGCCACTAGATGGCAGCAGCAGAAATTTCAAGGGTGTGATACCCCCTTTCAGCCACTAGATGGCATCAGCAGAAGTTTCAAGGGTGTGATACCCCCTTTCAGCCACTAGATGGCAGCAGCAGAAGTTTCCAGACAAAGGGAAACGCTCTACCTTGGTTTAATATATAACAGACCTCTGGCTTTAAGCTTTTAGCATTGGTCTGTTATTTAAACCCCAGTTTTAAACGGCGACTCGATCTGATATATCGAGTTTTCAGGTTTTGCCGTGCAGGATTCAAACCTCGCATTCACACAAACTGCACCATTTCTACGCCACTCAGGAATAAACACCTGCAGATCCGCGCCAAACTGCTCTATTTACGTCACGCAGGACTTTCGTCTACCTGTCGATCCACGTTTACGTTTTGTATATAACTTTCCTAACATAGTAAAATATGCATTGTATATTCCATTTAAACTATAAAAACACTGTGAAACGCCTACAGACAATCCTAAAGTTTTAGCGTATCCAATTACAGACAGGCGACTTTCATCGTCTGCTTACCTTATTTGCAAAGTTGCAGAGTCCTGCTGATTGTCTGAGATGTTTGAAAGCGTCTGAATTCTTCCTCCGCTTCGTTATAGACGTCGGGTCACCATTTTGTTAGAGATTTGGAGGGATAACTGGTATCTCCGCGCGTTCCTATGAAGCTGGTTATAATACAGGAAGGAATCCATATCTACAAAGTAACCGTTAACAATAATCTACTTTAATGGCAATATGACAATGCAATACAATCATTACAATACAACATGATATATTACAGTTATATTGCAATGCTTAAGGAGTAATGCCGGCTTACTCCTGCTCTAGTCCGCATACTGCAGAGCTACTTTCACCCGAGCGCAGCATGTGAAGAAGAGGCCGAACGCCAGGGATCCTCCGGAGATATATCAGAGTAAGAAGGAGGGGTTTGGTGTTAGGTCAGCTGGTCATCTTTTCAAGTCATCTCATTGGGAGACGCAACGCAGCAGGAAACGCAGCAGGAAACGCAGCAGGAAACCAAACAGGCTCACTTTCCAACAAAAGGTCTCAAGGCCTGCATACCTACACCTCCCCCACAGAGCCATAAAACCCTGTTTACTCCAACCAGCCCAGAATGTTTATAGCCATTTGTAGTCCTTACATTTATGAAAGGATAAAACAGAGAAATCAATATAAAACACAAACACAGGTATTGCTTGAACAGTATTCACTTAACTGCTACTATTGATAAGCACCAGAGAAACCCAAGGGACCTCTCTTAACCTCACAAACACTGCAGCTAGATCTAAGTTGAATGCAAATCAGGACATGCTCTCCCCTTCCCCCATCTTCCTTTGTCCTCAAAAACACATGTCAACAGGCCCCAAATGCAGCTCATAGTTTTACCCAAATTATTCTCATTTTAAGCTTATCCATAGTTTGCTAACATGAATAAATACAAATATAACTCTACAATACCCACCAGAGACCCCACCAGAGACCCACCAGAGACTCCACAGAGACCCACCAGAGACCCACCAGAGACCCCACAGAGACCCACCAGAGACCGACCAGAGACCCCACAGTGACCCACCAGAGACCCCACAGAGACCCCACAGAGACCCCACAGAGACCCCACAGAGACCCACCAGAGACCCCACAGAGACCCACCAGAGACCCCACAGAGACCCACCAGAGACCCCAGACCACAGAGACCCCACAGAGACCCCACAGAGACCCACAGAGACCCCACAGAGACCCCACAGAGACCCACAGAGACCCACCAGAGACCCACCAGAGACCCACCAGAGACCCACCAGAGACCCACCAGAGACCCCACAGTGACCCACCAGAGACCCCACAGTGACCCACCAGAGACCCCACAGAGACCCACCAGAGACCCCACAGTGGCAGTTCGCTCTCTATAGATGTCATCAGTCATCTCTGCCCCGTGTGGGAGGTGACTGTCCGCCTCCATTCCTGTTGACTTTTTACGAGTGACAAACACAGCCTACATCTTAGGCATGTTATCTTGCAGCCTGTTCTGAGTCAGTGACATGTTGTCCTCCATTGTTCGCTGTGTGGATATAATCCTTTCTGTCTCGCGATATTTTCATAACTGCAGAGCGCTGTTGATACAGTGCACTGGGGAGGACAGAAAACAGGAGAACATGCGCGAGGTCTGGAAAACATGACCTCACACGCGCTGCAGAGAGGGAAGATTCCCAGAGGTCAAAGCACTGTTGTTCCTCAGAGGGGAAGTGCCCGAGGGTCCCCGAGGCCACGGAGTGACCTCACCAGGCGACATATCGAGCAGAGGGCAATCTGCTCAAGACGCCCACCAGCAGCTCAGTGTTAACCAGCAGCTGGAAATAGGCTGAGCAGCAGAGTTATATCCAGAGGAGTGTAAGGCCTGCAGGTTCTCAGCCCACTGCAGCAGAACGTCTCACTGATTAGATCCTCGCTTCTGGTTAAAGGTGTTCTGTGAAATCATCTAGGTTTGTGTTTTGGTTCTAATTAAAACCAGGAAACACCACGGCTATTAGTTGCCTATAAAAGTAGGCAGTTAGTAAACATTATGATGTATTCTGGCTTCTTGCTGTGGATGGCTACGGCTAATAACATTGAATGCAAGTTGTGTTTCTGGGCAACATGGTTCCTTTGTTTTTTACTATGGCTGCAATAATTAAAATGTTATCTAAATCGCAATTTGGCGATTTGTAATTGCAATATCAGTCCAATTTGTTTATGTATTTGTTCCAAATTGTGTAGCCCTAGTATTTAGCAAATTAGTTAACAGTCTCTTAATTGAAAATGAAATATCCATACAAAATTATAAAAACATGCTTTTTCTTTGCAATAGTCCGAACATGTATTCAATAATCACACCATCCTTTAAAGGTGGGGTAGGTACGTTTCAGAAACCGGCTCGAGTGCACTAACATTTGAAAGTACACAGCCGAAAAGAATCCGCCCCTTCCTTCAGACTTCCTTACAGAGCACCTCCTCCAACACACACGAACGCACATGACGTCAGCAGACTGGTGAAAGTGGCCGCCTGTTGCTGGCGAGTCATTGAAGTACTGCTGCAATGCACGCCCAATGACGGCACGAGATGGAAGGCTGACAGACAGGGCGGCAATCCAATCCGTTTAGCCGGATTGGTTGTACTTTTTACAGTACCACGGCTTCCACAGATGACATTTTTTAATGGATTTTTTGTCAAAGCACTTCAGATATTCATTGCTATCGGGATGTTGAGAGCATTCCATGGAATATAACAAAAAATGTATATCTCGAGCCGGTTTCTCAAACTTACCTACCCCACCTTTAAGTGTGAATGGAGCAGATCCCCACTGCTTGATTGTCCATGATGGCTTTTTAAATAATTATTGTGCCAGGTGCAGCTTTAATGTTTCATAACCAGGAGGTTAATATCCCTGCTTTTAATGGGGCTACTAATTTGTAATAGCCACTTTAAAATGTATTATTAAGAGTAATACTGCTCGAACATTCTCACACAGGACGTTCATCTCACAATCCCTGACCGTCTCTCAGCTTCTTTGAAATAACTTTTGCTTCCTTTATCTCTTCCTCACCATCCCTATCTTCCTCTAGCCTCAGTGATGCATTTGTTCTGTGAGGCGGACGCCCCCTTTTATAGCTGTGCACCGTTTGTTTTATTTATCTGACAGGTGTCCCCCCGTATTGTCCCGGGTTATCAGCGCTCTCCTGCAGATCGCGTTACCGCCTGTGTGAGGCTCTGACCCATCTCAGGGTTCACCTTTAAATCTGATTCTTATCGTTACCTCCGTGATAAATAGGCACGGCTTAGGAGGAGATTATTCCCTGGTCCTGTTCCCCTTTTCCCACTGTTTCCATCTCCCGTACGGCCCTGAGCTGTCATCCCAGTCTCAATTAGAAGGGAGGCAAATACTCAACTCTGTTCCTCTAAAGATTTGGTGACTTTAGAAAAAATTTAAAAGGGCTACCGCTGTTCCCATGTGAACGGTCTCTTATCTCCAGTGGGCGTCCTTAAAACCCTCTTCCCACTCTGCCTGCTCCTCGGAGAGTTAGTCAGCACACCGTCATACTGACAACTGAGCTCCACATCGATTTTTCACACGGTTCTTATCTGGGGCAATAGTTTCAGAACGTTTTTTTTGTTGTTACTAATGAAAGTGGTGTCATTTCAGAGTTAATGCCATTCCTTCTATCGCTACAGATCTCTCTCTGGTTTTGATTCGCCTTATTTCTTCTCTGTCTGCTTTATTTATTGTTGCTATTCTGTTGCTCTCCAACCTTTTCAGCCATTATGATCATTTCAAATTGCAATAAATTAGCATACTATCCAATTTTAATATGATATTATGGTTTTGCACTTTTTACCCAGATTCAATTATGTTCTCAAGTTTTTGCACGAGCAGAAAATGTTCTCTTACCACAGAAAATAGGCCAATGAATCAAAAGTAAACACTTTCTACACAGCGAGCCTCAACCAACAGTTGGCTTTACTGATCTGGTATCTATGCTTATGATGCATTTTTGTTACATTTTGTGTACAAGATAATAAAAGTGATTATCTGATTAAGTAAAATGATGCTTTTGTGGCAAAATGATTGATGGTTAATAAGCATTAAACATTTTTAAACCTATTTCTCTATCACACCAATGAGGCATGCAGTTAAGCCCCGAGTCTGTTTTTCAGGCCTCAGGCTCAAAAATGACATTCCCAGAACAAATGACTATATCTTCACTTTTAAAAGGGTTAAATTAATAATATTTGTTCTCAAAGCAAGGTTACACCTGTGAGTTGGATGTAGAAAAGTCAGAATCAATCAGAGGTCGCGTTAACCGAATATTTTCCGTCTATGACGGATTTTTTTTAACAATGACGGACAAATCTGAAAGCAGTCCGTCATTTTGACAGATTAGAACAAACTCGGAACAGCGCCAAAGTTTCCCCGCAGCGAGGCTCCGGTGTTATGCCGTGTTATGCATGCCCTCTAAAAAGGAAATTATACCGTTTCCAAACCTAACTGTGCCGTACGAATCATTGAAATGTCTGTGAGTTTTGGCTTTACGCTGTGCACGCTCCCGCGAGGTGCAGCAGCCATGCATAACACGAGCATGCTTCCCCCCCCCTCCCTCGTCAGAGTTGTGTAAAGGCCGACGGGTAATTCTGGATTTTGACGGAAGTTTTACGATCCTGTCCGTCAAAATGACAGGCAGCGAAAAAGTCTAGCGCAACCTCTGGAATCAATATACATTTATTTTATTGTAAAGTAAATTCAGATTGAACATAGTAAAGAAATGTAAATGATAGTGTCCGTCCAAAAAAAAAACATTACTTATAGTGAAAACCACCCTTGAATGATGGGATAGGAGACTAAAAGCTTTAGGAATCCAAACTATAACATATAATAAGTACCCTGTATCAAGATTGATGCAAAACAAGTGACATTTGACCTTTTTAGAGAGGTTTAGCAAAAATAAACACTTCTGGGGTCATTTGGGTGGATTTTCCATATCTCTGGTCCCCCTTGGTCGATTTTGATGATTGACACCTCTTTTTAACCGTTAGAGCCAATAGAATCGAGGGGAAGTTCCTAAAATCCATCTAAACATTACCCATTGGTGAATGAGTGATGCGTAGCCAGAATGCCCAAAACAGGATGCTGTCATACACTCTGGTAGCTATCGTAGCAGCTAATATGAATCTCCGTTTTTGACATAAATATGAAGATGGATTATCAGTAATCATTTCAAAATGACAGACACATTGGATTAACCATTGGATTAACCTTCAGCAGCGTTTTTACAGCTAAAGGTAAGACAAATTGGCCGTGTTTGCTCCGTAAAGCTACGTGGTGTGATGTCTGGTTTGTCTGTCGCGAGTCCTGATCGCTCAGTGATGATACTTATATTTCTGGAATCTGTGGAATCTCAGTTTGCTAATCGATATCTTGTTTGTGCAGATCCGATAAGTAATAAGGGTATTTTACCGTGAGTTCTGTGCTAAGTGCGTTAGCATTTTTTCGCTCAGGGCTAATTCAGAGCCTTTGTTATTACCCTTATGTTTCGTATAGTTAAAAATTGTTAATATTGTTTGATAGCTGAGTTTCTTTCCGTTAAGTGGGTATGACACATTTGTTAAATGTTAAGAAGCCCTCAGACGCTGTTTCTTGCAAGATGTTGCGTCATGCCCCGGGCTTAACTTAGACTATGCTGGAGCCCTAACTCTTTTTATTTTCTGATAAAAACTGCATTTAACTTGTATTTAGTTATTTCTCCAGGCAATGTACTCCTTGTATCTCAGCAATGAGTCATGTGACCATTCAGCTCTGCTGGCTCTGATTGATGGTCACTAACAGCCAATCGTGCCGTCACCATAGGGAAATATGGAATTCATTATTTAGTTTCCCTTGTGGGGTCAAAGGTTAAACTGAAACAATGATAAAATGGGAGAATCCCTTCCCTCGGACGACGGATGGGGGGAAGGAAGAGCTCATGCTAACATTAGCAGCTGGCTCCTCTCACCTATATCATGTGGACAGTTTTAATAGCCGTAAGCTGAAAGAAGTGCACGGCCGGGTGATGGAGGACACTAATGTTAGTCCTGGGTTGCAATTTCTAACCCAGGTTCACAATCTTTAAGTAAACATTTTGGAGGATGCATACGTTTGACCGTATTCATCAGTGTGAGAACCCACAGCTGCTGTCATGCAACCTTAAAAAAAAAGCATGGTGATCACACTGGTGGTCTTTCTGCAGTAAAGTCATATGGTTCTTGTTTATTGTTTAAGAAATTATACATTCATCCATCACAAAATGGAATTATATGTCTGATAGTTAAATCTTCCGACC